TGTGGTTGGCTATGGTAAATGATATTGCTTTCTGGATTTCTTTTCTGAGCTTTGTTAGCATAGAGGAATCTCACTAATTTTTAGATATTGATCTACTAAGTTGATCTACTATCTTTAACAGTTTTTTAATTGAGTCCTTGGGGTTTTCTGTGTACACTATCATATCATGTACATATAGTGACAGTTTAACCACCTCTTTACCAATCTGGATGCCTTTTATTTCCTTCTCATGTTGTATTGTCCTAGCGAGCACTTCCAGTACAATATTGACTAGATGTGGTGACAATGGGCATCCTTGTCTGGTCCCTGATCACAAGGAAAATGCTTTTAGTTTTTCCCTATTAAGAATTACGTTGAAAAAAAAATAAAAAAAGAAGAATTATGTTGGCTTTTGGTTTTACACATATACTTTTCACTATGTTGAAGAAATTCCCTTCTATTCTAATTTTGCAAAGTGTCTTATTAGAAAGGAGTCTTGGATTTTTTAAAAAATGCCATTTCTACATCAATTGCTACCATCATATGGTTCTCGTTATTTTTAAAATATAGTGAATTACATTATTTTTCTTATGTTGAACTACATATGCATATCTGTTATGAATCCCACTTGGTCATTATGAATTATTTTTTTTAATGTGCTTTTGGATTCTATTAGCTAGGACTTTGTTAAGGATTTTTACATTTATATTCATGAGAGCTATTGGTCTGTAGTTTTCTTTCTTGGCAATTATCTTTGCCTGGTTTGGTATTAAAGTTATGCTTGCTTCATAGAATGACTCTCCTAGTATTCCTTCTTTTTCAATTTTTTGAAATAATTTAAGTAGAATTGATGAGACATCATCTCTGAATGTTTGGTAGAATTCAGTTGTGAAACCATTTGGTCTGGGAATTTTCTTATTGGGAAGTCGTTTTATGACCTGCTCAATTTCTTCATTTGTGGTGGGTCTGTTCAAGTGTTCTATATCTGTCCTTGTCAATCTTGGTAGGGCATGAGTTTCAAGGAATTTGTCCATTTCCTCTAGGATTTTGAATTTATCACAGTATAGTTTTTAATAATATTCCAATATTATAAATTTAATTGTTGAGTTAGAACATTAATTTTCCCCCCTTCCTTTTTCATGTGTGTATGTCTTTTGCTATGAATTTCCCTCAGAGGACTTCCTTAGCTGCATACCAAAGGTTTTGGTATGTCATATTTTCCATTTTCATTTGTTAAATGGAGCTTTTTTTCTTTAATTCTTTATTTGGTTTATAATCCAATTATGTTCTAGCAGAGGGTTATTCAGTTTCCATATATGTGGTTTTGTAATCTTTACCCTTCTATAGTTAATTTCTAGTTTTATGGTGTGTGGTCTGAGATGATATGTTGTACTAGTTCAGTGCTTTTGAATTTGTTGAGGCTTCTTTTGTGTTCTAATATATGATCAGTTCTGGAGAAGGCACTATGGCCACTTGAAAATGAATTGATTTTTAGTTTTAGTTGGGTGCAGTACTCTGAATACATCTACAAGGCTGAGTTGGTTGATTGTATAATTTAGATCTTCTGTATCTTTGTTGAATTTCATTTTAGCTAATCTATCTTTTCGTGGTAATAGTGTGTTGAAGTGTCCTATAAGTATTGTAGCACTGTATATTTCTTACTTCAATTCTGTTAACTGTTGTTTTATGTATGTTGCAGGTCTATCATTTGGTGCATAAATATTGACCAAAGTTATGTCTTCTTGATATTGTCTTTAATCAATATGTAATGCCCTTCCTTTTCTCTTATGGTGGTTTTTATTCTGAAATCTACTTTATCAAAGATTATTATTGCCACTCCTGCTTTTTTGTGGTTGTCGTTTACTTGGTGTGTTTTTACCCCCAGTCTTTGATTTTGAGTCTATTTTTCTCTTCTTTTATAAGATGTGTCTCTTGTAGGCAATATATTGATGTACTTTGTTTTTGTATCCATTCTGCTACTCATTTTCTTTTGATTGGCAATTTTAGTCCCTTCACAATAAGTGTGATTATTGTCAGCTCAGGTTTTATTTTTGCCATTTTGCTGTGTTTCTTTTTCTTTTGTTTCTGATCCATCTACTCTATTTGGTGTCTCCATGTGAAGGACTTCCTTTAAAATTTCTTGTAGTTTTGGTCCTGTTTTCACAAATTCCTTAAGTTCCTTCTTTTATGCAAAGGATCTATTTTCTCCTTAATATTTGATCTAGAGCTTTACTGGGTATAGGATTCTTGTCTGGTGTTTTTTTCTTTCAACGGTATTCTATCCTTACTTCGTAATTTGTAGAACTTGACTTATGATATGTCTTGAGTTTCTCTTTTTGGGTCTAGTATTTTTGATGTTTACTGTGCTTCTTGAATGTGGATTTCCCTGTTCTTCAAAATACCTGGGAAGTTTTCTTATAGTCCTTCTTCCACAATTTTCTCAGTGATTTCCCTGTTATGCCCAAGGTCTTGAATTCCAATCATATGTATGTTTTTCCTTTTGATGTCATCCTACATGATTCTAATATTTTCTCAATGTCTCATTTGTGAATTTTTTCTTTTATTTCTGCTGAGGCTCTTGTCTTCCAGCTCATTGCTTTTCTGTTCCATCTCTTCAGTTCTACTTGTTTGTACTTCCAGCATGTTGGGCACTTCTGCCAATTTGGTCACAATATTCTGGATTGCATTTTCATACATTTCTGTTATTTCCAGTACTGTGTTGTCTGTACCCTCTCTTTCTTGTGATGATTGTTTGAGTTCTTGTACTTCTTTTTCTATACTATGAATTCTTTCTTCCATCTTTTGCATTTCCTCCTATAGCAGTTAATTTTGTTCATCATCAATGTATTTCTTCTGGAATGCTGTCTCTGGGGCATTTGCTCTCTTTATTGTTTATTCCATTGCTGCATCTTTTTCTGTAGCTGTTCAAATAACTTCACACAAACATATTTTTTTCTGGTTTTCTCTATCTGGGATATTCATATTATTTTATTCTTTTTATGATGACTGAGGCTAACTGCTGCCTTCTTGACATTATGTAAGTCTTTTCTTGGTAGATTTTAAGTTGTAACTATATAATGACCCAGAGTACAGCAATGTTTTGTGAAAGACCTATAGATATATTTGTGTTCCCTTCTTGAAATGTTTCAACCAAAGTATCTGAATGACACAAACCAGGAAGCCTGTTATTCCCTTCCAGAGATGGCATCCTTGCCTAACTTGAGCTGTCCTGGTCCCTTCTGCTAGAGCTTAAGGGATCCCATATGGTGTAGCTATACAGATGTGTTTCCCCCAAAGTACCTGTAATATTGGTGCTCCTGGAACCAGATAGCAGGAGGTTCAGCTGGGCAGTCTCCAGGTGGTGGGGCAAAAGGGTCTCTTATTGGCAATGTCAGTGGTCTAGTGTTCTGGGTGGGATTACACTCTAAAACTGCAGCCTCTCAATCTGGTAGGCAGTGGTTCTGGAGTTGGCCCAGGTCTGAGTGAACCTTGTCTGGGATGCAGCCTTTAGTACACACAGGGAAAACAGTGACTGGGAGATGATGCTCCTGGGCCGGCCATGCCACAGTACTTGATGTATTGCAACAGAGCCAAGGTAAGGCCATTGAGCCAGTCTCTTGAGAGGCATAGGTCTAGTGAGAGATCATAGATAATGTTTGTTACTGCACATGCTGAAAATAAGAATGACTGGAAGTATTTGCTGTAGGTCAAGGATCCAGCCTTCCATATGGATTGAAGTTCATCATAAAGAAAACAAAACTTCTTATCCCTGGGCCAATTGATGGCATCATTGACATCTGGGCAGGAGGTTTAGAGTGTTAACAATGTCATCTTGCTTGAATCCAGAGTCATCACTCTCAACACCAGCAGTCATGAAATCAAAAGACAAATGTCTTTTTTTTTTGGTTTGCTTTGTTTCTGGAACAAGTTTTATTTAAAAGAGATAAAATACATTAGATAACATTAAATCTGAATGGGGGAAAGGGAGCCAGTTGTTACTTCACATGGCATTGGTCAGCTTTTGCCATTAAGTTGCACGTTCAGTAGCTAGCCATTATTCATACATTAGTTTGAAATTTGTTCCCTTGTCAAAAGTTTCTCTCAACACAGCATGCAGGCACAATAATTTTGGAAATTTCTACCTAACTTGGGAGGGTCTGGAGTGTATTATGCTAAGTAATCTAACTCAGTTCTATTAAAACAAATACTGTATTTATTGTAGAAACTGAAAGATAATTAGTCAAATGCGTATGTGGTTCCAAGGTAGAGGTGAGTAGGATCACAGGGGTGAGTATTGACTGGTGTGTGTGTGTGTGTGTGTGTGTGTGTGTGTGTGTGTGTGTGTGTTAATCATAAAGTCGCACAATTTGATGGGTAGAGGGAGGGATGTATAAAGGAAATGGGATAGATTTGGTGTGAAAAACAATGTATATCAAGTTTTTAAGCAAATTGGTATAAACGAAAAAAAATATTTAAAAAAAATTTAACTCTAAGGTTGTCCTCACATCCTGGAGTTTTCTGGGACAGAATATGTCTGGTTAGAAAGAATAAAGACCTTGGTGGCAAGCCAGATGTCCCATCACTTCACTCCTAAACTCTGCCCACCTTGCAGGACTGAAGACACCGGTGATCTTTCTTTTGCTACCACAGCTCCCTCTAGTGGTATATCAGCCTTACGCCATCCTCTCAGCTCCATTTAAGGCTGCTCAGGTGGACATTCTCTTGGGGCAGGGAGGCTTAGACATCGCCATCTGTGATCTTGGGCCCTGACTTTGGCTGAAATATCATGTTATTGCTTTATTTCAGGCTGAGCACTGTCAGGCGCTGACTGCATGACCTCTGTTTAATTGAGAGACATCAAGACTAGACAGCATGGCTCTTTTCAGATGATTACATGAAGTAGTTACACTAATCCAAGTTAAAGTGGATCCCAAATTGTTGCATTATAGAAGTTGTGAGGTTTTAAACTTGTGACAAAGGATAGAAGGGAGATTTTGTTCTCATTTCAAAGAAACCCTCACTTAAGCTTCGAAGAGCCACAAGCCCTTAAAAGCCATGAAAAGCTGGTCATCCTTTGCCAGTCCAGTCTCTACAAAGAACTGGCGTGTGTTCTTGTGCCGGTCACCCTGTAGCTGAATTACTTCTCCATATTCTGGATGATCAAGGACAGGACCATTGCAGGGACGGTTCTTCCTGAACACCTTCCCTAGTTTCTTTTTATTGTAATCATCAGCAATTCCTTGGACAGTTGTAATGACCTTCCTACCATTTCTCTGTTGAATTCTTATATGGACATAATCCTCAGTCTGAGCAAGAAACAGGTTATCACTCTTACTTGCTTCAGCACAGGGGTCAAAAGAGTGTAGATTCTCTATAGCAGGTATACTGTATGATTCCTTTTCCTTGGTGAAAATTGTCTATGGAAGGCAGTGACATTGCTAGGCTAAATAATTTTTCTCTTTCCAACTGTTACAGAAATTCGTAGTTGAAATTCAAACTATGAATTTTCATCAGTGACTGCACTATTTTACAGTTCTACCAGTATAGTTTAAGAGTTATAACCTCTCTACACTTTTAGTCCTGTGGTGAAATTATCTCTCAGTATTGTTTTTATCTGCATCTATATGACTAATGATATATGACAGCATTTATTACTTCTTTTTTTATTATTCATCTGTATTTATTCTTTGGTAAAATGTCTTCTGACATCTTCTACACATTTTTAAATTAAATTGTGAAAGATAGCTGGGTAGATTTACTTATGGGTTCTCCATTCTGTTCTCTTGATCTTTGTGTTTGTTATTGTAGAAAAACCTGATGATTTTATTATAATGGTTATATAAATTAAAAAAAACCCCAAACCTGCTGTCTTTGGGTTGATTCCAACTTGTAGTGACACTCCACCAGATTTTAAGCCTGTAATATGTAAATTTTAGTTTTTGATCTTCTGCAAGAAGAAATTTAAGTCCTCCTCGCTTTAAACAAACAAAATTATGTCATCAGCATAATGCAGGTTATTGATGAGTCTCCCACCAATCTTGATGTCATTCTGCTGAGTATCAGGGTCCAGCTTCTTGAATAATTTGCTCAGCATACAGATTGAAAAGGCTTGGAGAGAGAATACAACCTTGAAACACTCTTTCTTAATTTTAAACCATGTAGTGTTTAACACCCTTGGTACTAGCAGTCAGAAAATAAGGAGACACATTACACTGGGAAGGTCTGCAGTTAGGGACCTTTCCAAATTACTGAGGAGTAGTGATGTCAGTTTGAGGACTAAGGTGCATCTGATTCAGACCATAATCTTTCCGATTACTAGCTATGCATCTGAGACCTGGACAATGAATAAGGAAGATAGAAAAAGAATTGACACCTTTGGGCTGTGGTGTTGTAGAAGAGGGCGATCCTATGGTTGGTCAAGAGAATGAACAGATATGCCTTGGAGAAGATGCAGCTTGCGTACTCTTTGGAAGCAGAAATGATGAGGCTTCGACTAACCTATTTTGGACATATTGCTAGGAGATGTTATTCCTTTGAAAGGGACATGATGTTGGGAAGTTTAGAGGGTCAGCAAAGGAGAGGAAGATCCTCAACCAGGTGGATTAACACAATGACTGCAACAATGGTCTCTTGTCTGTCAAGAAGTATGAGAATGGTGCAGGACAGAACAGGGTTCAGATGTTTTTTTCATAGGTTTGCTATGAGTCATACTCGACTTGACAGCACCTAACAACAACAACAACGACAAAAGTGTTTCCTTACTCTGTTTGGGCAACAATTTCCTGGTCTAGGTATAGGTTTCACATGAACACAATTAAGTGCTCTGGTATTCCCATTCTTCTCAGTGTTAGCCATAGCTTGTTATGATCCAAATAGTCAAATGCCTTTGCGTAGTCAATAAACATAAATTTTTCTTGAGTTCTTTACTTTCAACCAGATTCATTTGACATCAGCAATGATGTCCCTGGTACGATGGCCTCTTTTAAATCCTGCTTCTGGCAGTTCCCTATATATGGACTGTTCTAGCTGTTTTTTGAATGATGTTCAGTAGTAGTTTGCTTGCATGTGATATTAATGATATTCTTCTGTCGTTTTCACATTCTGTTCTATCAACATTCTTGGGAATGGGAACAAACATAGATCACTTCCAATGCATTGGCCAGAGTGCTGTCCTTCTAGGATCCTGGCATAGATTGGTGAGCACATTCAGGGCTACATTTGCTAATTGAAAGAAGTCAATTGGTATCCCATCGATCCTTGAGGAATTATTTTTTGCCAATGACTTCAATGAATCTTTCACTCTTTCCTTCATTACTATTGGCTCTTGCTCATGTGATACTCCTAATATTTTTCAGTGTCTGTCCATTCATTTTGGTCCAGTGATTCTATGTATTCCCTCCATCTTCTTTTGATGCTCTCTGGGTCATTCAGTTTATTGGCTATAGCATCTTTCAGTATTGACATTTGGGACTTTAACTTGTTTTTTAGTTTTCTCAACTTAAGAAATACAGAGCAAGTTCTTCTCTTTTTCTTTTCCGGTTCCAGCTCTCTGCACACTCCATTATAATATTTTGCTTGGTATTCTCCAGCTACCCTTTGAAATATTTTTCTCAGCTCTTTTACTATGGCATGTTTTGTCTTCTGGACACGCTAATGCAATTTTTTAAATATCTTTTTACATGCATATTGCTTGCTTTTTTCTTCTCTGTCTTTGTAATGACCTTTTGCTGTCTTTAAGAATGATATCCTAGATATTATCCTGTGACTGCTGTTTCTCTGTTTTTGGTGTTAAATGCCTCAAACTTATTCAGAGACGATTCTAAAATTCACATGGAATAGCTTCAAGATCATATTTTGGTTCTCATATAATTATTTTAAATTTCTTTGTCGTCATTTGAATTTGCACATGAGTAATTGATGATTTCTCCTACAGTCTACCTCTAGCCTAGTTTTGACTGCCAATATTGTGCTTCCCCAACAATTTCTTCCACGGATGTAGTCAATCTGATTCCTGGCCAGCACATAACGTGTAAAGTCACCACTTATGCCTTTTATAAAAGGCATTTACAATGACTAAGTCATTGAAAATACAAAATTTGATCCTTCTTTTCCATCCTTGAAGTACTTGTTGCAGAAGTTCAAAGAATACAACCTTCAATATGGATTGCATCTGAATGTCAAAAAAACAAAGATTTGTACCACTGGACCAATAGGTAACATGGATGGATAAATGACTGAAACTGTCAATAACTTCATCTTTCTTGGATACACAAGAAATACCCTTGGTATCAGCATTTAGGAAATTAGGAGACATATCGGCTATAAAAGTCTGCAGTTAGGGACCTTTGAAAATTATTGAGTAGTAGTGATGTCGGTTTGAAGACTAAGTTGTGTCTGAAACAGGCCATGGTCTTTCTGATCACTTGCTATGCACCTGAGAGCTGGGCAATGAAAAATTATGACAGTAATTGAAGCCTTATAGCCACAGTCTTCGAGAAGAGCAATTAACATCCCATAGACAGCCAAAAGAACAGACAAATATGTCTTGGAGAGGGTGCAGTCAGAGTGCTCTGTGGAGGCAAAGATGATGAGGTTTCACCTCACGTACTTTGGGCATGCTGTTAGAAGGGGCTATTCCTTGAAGAGGAACAAGATGCTCAGAAAGATAGAGGGTCAGCAAAGGAGAGGTGACCTGGTGGATTGAAACAGTGATTGCTACAATGGGCTTTAACATGTCAGTTAGTGTGAAGATGGCACAGGATATGACAAGGCTCAGATATGTTGTTCATAGGGTGGGTAGGATTGTACTTGACTCAACTTCACCTAACAACAATAACAACAAATTTTTATAGGAGGAAGCTATCCACCGTTCTTCCATAGAACAACTGATAGATGGAAAAGGACAACCTTTTAGTTAGCATTTTGATGCATTAGCTACTGCCGCTAGGACTGTTATGGCTACATAGTCTGTAAAGCCTTTTTTTATTTTGTTCTTTTGCGGTTGCCTTTTATTTGTCTGTGTTTTCTATCCTTTCCTTATAAAATTAGTGGCTGACTCTTGCATCTCCTTAAACACTGTTTCTAGAATGTGGATTGAGACTATATCATTTCTACAGATAGCTGTGAATTGGGTTGAATTGACATTTTCATGATTCTAACTCTTCCTATTTATTAGGATGGTAAGTTCTTGTATTTGTGTTGAACCGTTTTGATTTCTTGATGTAGTGTTTTATAAGTGTTTTGGGATGCTCATTTTTGTCAATGTGTTATCCATAATTTGTTATAACCCACATAGTGAAATTCCTTTGCCTAGGCTGGAGACTAAGGTGCACCTGATCCAGGCTATATAGTCTTTACAATTACGTGCTATGTATCAGAGAGTTGGACAGTGACTAGGGATGATAGAAAGAGAATTGATGCCTTTGAGCTGTGGTGCTGGAGAAGAGTGTTGAATATACCATGGACTGCTAGGAGAACAAACAGGTTTGCCCTGTAGAAGGTGAAGCCGGAATGCTCCTTGGAGTCAAGGATTCTGAAGCTTCATCTGACATACTTTGGGAATGTTGCAAGGAGGGACTGGTCCTTGGAGAGGGACATCATGTTTGGGAGAGTGGAGGGACGGTGAAGGAGAGGAAGACCTTCGATGAGATGGATCGATTCTGTGAGTGGAGTGGTGGGAATGAGTATGTTTGAGACGGCAAGTTTGGCACAGGATAGAACGGTGTTTAGGGCTCTTGTGCATAGGGTTGCTATGAGTCACAAGTGACTCGATGCCACATAACAGCAACAACAGGCAATAAATACAAAACCAACCAAACAAACAAAAAGGTCTGTCTCTGTGGTATTCTTGCTTTTAGCCAAGATCTGACATCAGCAATAATAACCCTTGTGTCATGGCCTTTCTTGGAGTTCCTGTAGTTTCATATATACCCATGATTTGTCTGATGCCCTGAATTCCCATAGTTTTATCTACTTTCTTCTGAGTTCTAGACTCAATCTAATGACCTATTATTCAATTTATTGCTATAATTTGAAACCAATTTATTGCTGATACTTCATTGAGTTTCCAAGACTAAATTGCATAGGACTACGTGGCCCATTTTTCTCTCATGGAGCTGCTGGTGAATACAAACCCCCAGTGAAGCATACATTTGAGATAGAAGTGTAACTATCAGGGACCACACCCCCAGCTTTTTAACAGTGTATAGTTTTTTTTTTGTTTTTTTTTGCTAATGAGATTGTTAACAGCTTCAGTTTTGCTTGGATCCATGATCAACACTCTTGGTACTAGCAGACAAGAAGTCAAAAGATGAATTGCATTGGAAAAAAATCTGCTGT